CCCCAAAACCCCAAAACCCCATTGTATTTGGATTAGGAAAATTTTAGAGAACTAATCATATTAAAACCAATATTTGATTGTAAAACTCTTTTAATCATTAATTAATCTCGTTCATAAATTTCAATAGCTCATCATTCAAATCTTTTTCATCCTTTTTAGGTTCATTGTTAACTTGTACTATTTCATCTTTTGACAAAATCGTTCCAAACATTAAATCTAATCCTGGCAGAGCAAAATCATTTTATGGCATTTACCTTGCAGGAGGTAATGATGGCTTATAAGATTATTTAAAAGTATTATATTGCTAGTTATCATCCTCACTATCTGAGGAAGAAGATCCATACCCTTGCAATAATGAGAGTGCATTTTTGTTGTTTTAAATTGTATTAACTTATATTTGTTATTAATCTGGCATATTTTTTGTAGCAGGTGCTGTATCAGAGGTTGATTTATTTTTGCTTTCATCTAATTGTTATTATTGTGGTAGAGTCTATGGTAATATTAATTCCTATTTTTGTTGATACTTTGGCTATAGAATGCTTCCTTGATTCATTTACTTTCTTAATGCGGCAGGAATGAATCTTTTTTATGGTACAATACTTTTTTCATCAGGCTTAGTAGTTTTCTCAATCTCCTTGACTTCTCTTTCTTCCTATATTAGTTCAGTTTTAGGTTGAAATTATGGTAAGTCCAAACCCAATGCCTTTTTTATATCAGCACTAACACCTTTAAACTAATTTGTCTATTACTACAATGGAGTCGTATTAGTCTATTGCATTTCAGTTTGCTATTGTTATGAATCTTTTAGCTGATTTTTTTCTTTCTACTATTAATCTCTAAAGTTTTTATCACCATGACTCGGATCTAGTGGATCATCAAGTGTATCTTGTTTCTTTTTAGGCTTTTACCTTTGCTGCTAATTCTAATTTTGTTATTATACCTACTACTTAGCCTCCTCTAATGAACTTTAATTTTAGTTAATCTATCCGTTTTTAGTCTAAACTGGTTATCCCTCAATTTATTAAATTTTTTGAAGGTTTTATTTGTAAATTATAGGTCTACTCTAAATTTCTGCAGCATCTTAATTAGATTTCATCTAATAAGGCTATAATTTTTACCTAGGTTAATGCAACTCTTGCTGATACTAATCTTAATTATACTATACTTCTAGACCCTAAAGCGTTCTAAAATAGTTATTCTAAATTTCTTCCCACGTTGTTCCAGTACTTTCCTGCTATTCTGACTAATTATAATCCTGGGATTCCTACTATTAATTTGTATTGCTGCTTTAGGATTGCTGATAGTAAATCTAATTATTATTTGCATATTGATTGGGCATCAAAGAACTCATAACTCCTGATTTAGCTCCAGCATATGATTGCTGTATCTAAGGTTTTTGATTCCCTCCCAGGAACTAATTAGCTTGAGACATCTTAAGTTGGTTAATTGTGCCAAAATCATGATTGAGCAAGGGATCTATCACTGGTTTACTCATATATTCTTGTCTCTAGATTTCCTTCATCTCTTTCCTTTTTTCTTTTTCTTTGAATTTCAACTTTCTTCGCATCTATTCCATAGGGTTTCGAATTACTCTGTCCTCTATCAGACTATTCTTGTTTTTACCCATTTCTTAATGATTTGATAATATAATTATTGTTATAATAAAAGTCAACTCGATAAATATTTTATCTATTTATGATTTAGGGGTTTTGGGGTTTTGGGGTTTTGGGG